TCGCCTGACCTGCCTAAATTTAGCTATAAATGAGATCCTTAAACCGATAAAACCTGTCCAAGCTATCTTTAAGTGCTGCTAGGGAGGGACTTCACACAACTTTGTGTGACAGTCCGCTCCAATGATGCACTTTTCTTAGACTGAATGACATCTGCCTCTTCATAGTTCTACTCCTACCTTTTGCCAATTGGAACTGGTTTTCTCTAAGTCTTGGCATAATTTCCGGTAATCCCTGTGGATCTACCTTATCCATCCCCTTCATAATCTTGAATACCTCTATCAGATCACTCTAGGTCTACGATATTTCAGTGAATACAAATCCAAGATCTCAAGTCTATCCTTATCTTATGAGTGCCAAACCCATATATCGTCCCAGTTACCTTTCGCTATATTCTCTCTGGCCTATCTATATATTCTAGAAAGCGCGGGACCAGACCTGTACGCAGTACTCTAGGAGTGGCCTATCATGACGGAAGCACATATTTTTGACAAAGTTCCTTCTCTTATGATAGGAAGTTTCTAGTTAACAAGTTCCAGCATCCGAACAGCCTTGCTCCTAGCAGCCCTACAGTTCTTTTCGTCCTCGAACTGGTCCATCTCTCGGCCTCCCATTTCATGGCTAAGTGCCCATTTGCCAGGAACTATCCATATGTATCGCCTCACACTTAACATGATTAAATAACATCTGCTATAGAGAAACCCAATTCACCAGATTTTCCTAAGTCAAGTCTCATCTGGTCTGTGTTTTTAACACCTCTATCAATTTAGTAATATCAGCAAATTTAAGCACCTTACTTTTAATCCTATCTCAATACTTTCCACAAAATAATAATGAACAAGAGACCCAACAAAGAGCCCTGTGGAACCCCACTCTCCACTAGCTTCCACTGAGACTTAGAATCATTGAGCACTTCTCGTTGTGTCCTCTCTTGTAGCCAAGCCCCTACCCAGCCAAGAATTTCCCCTCAATACCACGCAATTTTAACTGATATAAAAGATGCTGGTGTGGTGTATGTGACCTTTTCAAACGCTTTACTAAAACCTAGATAACAACATCTAAATCATGGCTCTTATCTTCTGAATAGTAACATGTTCCATGAACTCCAGAGGATCTATCAAGCAGGATCCACCAGAAAGAAAACCATGCTGACCACTATTTTTCAACTGATGCTTATCTCACTAAGGTCTCACATAGTAGTGAGGTAAGATTGACAGGCCAGTAGTCGCCGACACTCTTGTTTTGGTCCCCTTCTTAAATAACGGCACTTCATTGGTATCGCGCCAGTCCTCAGATACTTCTGCAAGGCTTAATGACCCATCAAATATTAGCTTAAGAGGACAAGTTAAAGCACTAGCGCACTCTTTAAGCACTCTACCATAGATCTGGTCGGGCCCGGCCGCCTTATTTACTTTGATTTTCTTCAAGCTATCCCTTACCTTACCCTCGGTCACCGTCAGATCTTCAAGACTGCCTTATGTCACATGTCGCCTATCACCAGGGAGATCATACACGGACTCCTTTGTAAAACTGAACAAAAGTGCCTTCTAAGAGCATCTTCAGCATCCCTGTCCTCCACTTATGACTTTCCATCTTCCTCAAGAGAGCTGTCAGAGGATCCCTTTGATTTGAATTTGTAATAGCTCAATAATGCATTGACATAATTTTTGCTTTCCTGGTCTCCTTCTTTTTCTTTCAACATTTACATATTATTATGCTGTTCATTTTCTTTTCTGTAGCATATCTTATTGTATTATCATTTTCCTTATTTAGCTTTTTTCTGCCAATCCTATAAGCTGCTCTGCTGCTTTCATGTGCTGTGTTTTTTAAAAACTTTTTGGGTGTTCCACATGTGGATGGGGTTTTGAACCAAAATAGTCATTTTGAAGATCACCTGGTGCAGTTGACATCCCTACCCTTCGTAAGGTCTAAGCCCCCTAGTTTCCAGTGCAGACCAACTCAAGGCTACCCAGGTATTTCCTAATTGGTCGTGGAATAATACACGTGTTGCAAACGGTACCACTACGGCACCAGATATCGGTTCTCAAAGTCTGAATTGACCTCAGTGTCCACAGACAAACTTGATCTGGGTTGGTAGAAGCGGCTCGTGTCCTGAGAAGTGCCGGGACATCCCAAAGGGCCACTGAGCATGAGAAAAACTCCCTTAATCTTTGATCTGGCACCGAACTCGTGGAGAGGGCTCTCCGTGTGCAGAGGATTACTGGGGACCTTACATCTGAAATGTCATCCGAAAGGCTGTAGAAGTACTAGAACTATCAGAGGAAGGATTCGTTCCCGTGGAAGTCTTTTCAAAACCGGTGGTGTCACCAGTTGGCTGTCTTGAAACTCAGAAGTGGCCTTGACACTTCGAGGGTTACGGGTTAGAAGAGGGTTACGGGTTTACTAAAAAAATATGTTCGGAAAGGCTTTGGAACCCTTGACAGGCCCTGCGGTTTATGGCAGATTCCTTAAGTGCCCAATGATAATTATCTGCATTGGGAATGGCCCATGAGCTTCAGAGGGGCCTCTGAAGCTAAGCATCGGACTCATCAAGATTCAGAGAGCTTCTTTGATTTGCGGTAATGGTTTTATTTGCGTAGGTCGCTTGCAGCTGAGATTGGCCAGCAGACGTGTCGAACAATCTCCGAGTTTCCAAAGATATGAGCGGATCATTCACACGAACGGTTATGTTTCCAAGCCTCTTGAGACTCAAAAGGCCAGTTCAGTCACAAAAAGGGTCACACGAGGAACGAAGAAACTTATGCGTTCAAAAGGCTTATAATGACTGACCCTAACCTCAAATTTCTTGGGCCTTCAAGAATCCATTAATTATCCTGTTGTTTATGATATATTTGTGGCATGTCTGGAGAGAAGAATATCCGTCGACTTCGCTCCGCCTCTGCTGCAGACCACAGGTGCTGTTTTCTGGACGTTCTTGCGCAAAGTCCGATTCAAGGTTAAAAGAACCTTTCTCTCCTTCAGAAAATTGTTAAAAAATATTGTACAAAATGTATTTTTTCGCATACCAAAATATGTATTGCTTACAACTACTAACCCAAGTCACTACTAGCGTTATTGCATTCCCTCACTTGAATCAGATGAAAAGGCAGACAATTATTGTGGTTAGGTTAGTGTACTACAGGCTTTCATGAAAACCATTTTAGTGCGCATTTCAGTTTGACCGAGCACAGTGAGTATATGCGCCAGCGGCAAAATACAAACATCAAAAAAGCAGACAACAGCAGCAAAAGCGGCAGCCGTAAGACAGGGATCCAAAACTGGTGCAAGCTGCAAATGTTGGGAAAACCGGTCCTCTCATTCCCTTTCAGTTAATAAGTCCTCTAGCGTTAGGAATTTGTGGCAGTGTGCGCGATGACGGTTTTTTGCCATATTTCAAAGAAGGAATATGTTTTATCGTGTGTTAACGACTCATTCATGTTCGAAAACGAAATTATTTTGAAAACGGACGATATCGTATATGTTGAGTTGCACGCCAGTTTGAGCAGGAGAGAATGTAAGCTGTCCAAAAAGTGCCAAACATTTCTGCCGCTGTTTCTCTAATTCAGACTGGACTTTGGATTTTTTGGACTTACAAAAATTGGAATCCATTCGGCGCTTCTACTGCAAACACACCCGACTGATGCCGCGCCTGCTCCAGGCCCCCCCCCTAACTCACTACACGCGCGTGCTGCGAGCCCGTCTGACCTCTCCTGCGCCTACTGCTGGCTCTCCTGACTCCTCCCGCAATTGCTGCTGACCCTTCTGACTTTTTCTGTGCCTGCAGGCCCCTCTGACTGCCCCACGTCCGCGTCAGACCCTTCTGACTGACCCCGCACCTGCGTCAGACCCTTCTGACTGACCCCGCACCTGCGTCAGACCCTTCTGACTGACCCCGCACCTGCGTCAGACCCTTCTGGCTGACCCCGCACCTGCGTCAGGCCCTTCTGACTGACCCCGCGTCAGCTACAGACCTCTCCGGCTGATCGTGTGTCTGCGGCAGGCCCGTTCCAAGCTGCCGAAGAAGCGGAGGCGAGTGCTGCCCGCCGAGCACAGCCGGCGCGGACCTCGCCGCGAGACGGGCGGCTTCCAGAGGCGCATGAACGCGATCAAGCATCACCCCAACGCCAAACAGCCGCACCCGCTGCACAGCCTGCGTGAGTGACCTAGGCACCTGCGGGCTCCTCGCTGGGCCGCCGATGCGTGACGTAAACGTTTGTGACGTAGCGGTTTCCGCAGACATGGCCGTTAGGCAGACCTGTGCTTAGGTCCAGAAATACACCATGAGATTTCGAATCCGGATCGTGCTAATGAAAGCTTGCACGGAACCCGGTGCCTACCCTTACATCCAACGCCAGTCCCATCCGCAGGTCCGAGGTATGTCACGGTTAAGGGACGGACGAAGCGGCAGGTGCGTGCAACTGCGCGTGCCGCGCAACGGCAACTGCTTTCTGCAGCAGGGCCGCATGTCGCGCGGCAGAGGGTGATCTGCCTCTTAGGATGCGCAACGCTACGTGTCGCGTCGCGCAAAGTTATTGGTATTTTGTGGCAGGAATGCAGATGTTGCGAAATGCCTGCTGCCGTCCGTGGCAGCGGCTCGTGTTGTGTCAACGGTCTGACATCTGTGCTGCTGCTTCTGCGCACGTATAATGTCCTGGAGGTCCATTACTGTAGCGGGGGCACCATCGGGTCGCTGAGAAACTCCGTTGCATGTTGTCAGCAATAACTCATCACCGAGCTGCCTTCATTTCGGTGAGGACCCACCACCAGTACCCACTGATGATCAGGTCCCTGTCCGTGGTGGACAGTCGTGTCGATTCGAAGGCGTTCTCTGGTGGCGTCGGTAGCTGTGTGCTGACGGTTCATCCGACACGGGTGTTTCCGGAGCTCATCTGTCATCTCGGCTCCGGCCGTACATCCTGCCGAGTAGATCCACAAGCCCCGTGGCGCAGGCATGGAAGCCATCCATTACGCTTCGATCTCGTCCGAGGACGCCGCGGTGGACGTAAAGCCTCGCGTTAAGGCCTGCTCTGGGTTGGTTCCGCTTGGTGTAGATTCGGCATAGGACCCCCTGGCATTCCGCCGCCTTGCTGGTGGGAACTCGGGATTGGTGTCACTAAAAGACTGCAATATATATGCACACACATATATATATATATATATATATATATATATATATATATATATATATATGTGTGTGTGTGTGTGTGTGTGTGTAGCTCATGATATATGTATTAGACATCTGCAAGATATGTATGCAGTGAGTATAGAAAATCCTGCAATTTGCAACGCCAACCATGGAAAGGGAGTTTTCGAATCCCTTGACCTATCCGGGAGCTTGAAAATTTCCTGGGTGTTCAGAGAGTATGCGAGATCCTGGGATATAAGCGAAGAAGTGTTTCATTCTCTACTTACTGCCGAAAGCGAATAACCAACAACATAATCAGGGAGGACTAGCAGGTGACGCTTCCTGTGAGGAAAATGTCTAAGGTACATTAATAGGCATATGAAGAAACTTTGCCGTTGAAAAATAAAGATAAACAAAGTAGTCAAAAGAATTCATTTTAAAAACATAAAAGGCAAGTCTGCCTGTGCCCTCAATTCAGTTTTGCCAGATTTATCATAAAGTTACTTCAGCAGGTAAAATCTCTTTAAAAACATATTTAGCGGAGTTTAAAGTATCGGGACCTAGGCTATTCACCCCCAGTGATTTTACTTGAAACGATGCAAATTAACCTATCCGTGTTTTGGAAACGCTAGTCCAGGACTTCCCCGCTGCTGTAAAAGCCCGCGGACCTCGGTAGGTCTCTCTGTGCAATGAGTTGAACGGTGGGCAAAGGAGGTGACAGGCATCAGACGGAAGAGTGGAACAAACAGGACGTCAGTGCGCTGATTCTGGCCCGGGGCCGCTCCGGAACCGCTCCGCCAAAGGTCAGCATATGGAATCCATTTTGGATTGTCCTCGAGTAAAGAGTGAGCGCTGATATCGGTTTGTCAGTGATATCGAAGGTTGATAATTTGTGGTGTGTTACCATGTAATACGAATGCATCATTGCGGTTAAAACGCATGAGTAGTGTTTGTGGTCATCATAGGTAACGATAAAATGATGATGAAAAAGGACAAAATGTTGATGATGATAGTCATGAGGATGATGCTTTTCATTCGCTGCTTGGATAATCCACAAAGCGGTGGAGCGGACGCCTCTAACTTTCCACGTGTTAGGCGACAAAAATGGTACTGGGCTCTCCACGTGTTAGGCGACAAAAATGGTATTGGGCTCAAGATCAATCTCGTGTTAGGCGACAAAAATGGTACTGGGCTTAAGATCAAGCTCGTGTTACGTTTCTCCTGTTTAGGAATTTTGTGTTATAAGAAGTGTTCCACATTCCGTTGGAATTTTGAACTGAAGTAGCTATCTTGAGGACCATTTGGTGCGGTTCACAGCGCTGCCCTTATTGAATGGAGTGTTCCATATTTATATGGGAATTTGAGATGAAATAGCCACCTTGAAGATCATTCGGTCTGACGGATCACCAAGTTTGATGGAAGAAGCTCGCTTGTCACGACTGGTATGTTTTTTATGTGCCAACGACTTCTCTAGATTCAAAATTCACTTTTTGGTACATATGTTCATCATACAAATCATACACGCCATCGTTTGATTACGACAAGGAACAACTTGATAACGACAGACCCGCCGCTACCAGGCTGACCATGTCAAAATTACTGCTGTAGCGCACGGGATATTTCACTTGTACTCCTCCAACTCGCCTCAAGGTGACTCGTTAATTTTTTGCGCGCGAGATATATGACGAACGTTATGTGTACGTGCACTTGCCCTTTCTCGTGGTTGTCTCGCATATTTTCCGTGATAACACGTTTTCACTTGCATATCCGTTCTCGGTTAGGCGTTATTCTTGAGTTATTCGATTCCCAGCCTCATGTACGTCATCGCCAGTAGAACTGCCCAAACGCCTGCATCACGTATCACATCACGCTATTCGTGACCGAATAACCAATCACAACCTGCATTCAACGTCAGAAACTGGTTGGAAAGCAACTGATGTTCATTCATGCGACAACTCATGTTGACGTGCTTCTGGCACGCTTAGGTCAATGCCCAAATGCGTCTCGGCCTTGGACACTACATGGCAATTGAGGAGAAGCTTGTATGACGTATTTATGATGTTATATATCTCTGGTGACCTCAACCTAGGCGGCGCTAAATGGTCGAAATAGCTAAAATATTCTTGGTCACGAATTCACTGGCGCCTAGCCCAGAAACGAAAGGATCTAAAGTCGTTACAAAGGGCATGACTGTAAAATGCAGGGAATGATCTTCATAATGGTTATCTCAGCTCAAAATCTCATGCAAATAGGGAGTAGTACCTTAAGCAGGTGAAGCTTATGAGGTGCCCGTAGCCTTCTGCACCCTTCCTTAAATGTATCACTAGTGATAGCCGACTGGGTAGCCAGAAAGTTTTAGTCTGCTTTAGCGAGTATCCCCTGCATTTCGCGAACTACTTGGGGAGTGTGAGATTTCCTAGAGTGTTTGCAAACGCCCTAACTATCCAATAAGTTTCCAAACTTTACGAACTCGCTGTTAAGTTGAGTAGTTTGCAAAGTTCGGATGTTTAATTATCCCTGCAGCGCGCGCGCGCACACACACAACACACCACACACACACACACACACACACACACACACACACACACACACACACACACACACACACACACACACACACACACACACAGAGGGAATAGAGAGAGAGAGAGAGAGAGAGAGAGAGAGAGAGAGAGAGAGAGAGAGAGAGAGAGAGAGAGAGAGATGAGAGAGAGAGAGAGAGAGAGAGAGAGAGAGAGAGAGAGAGAGAGAAGAAGAGAGAGAGAGAGAGAGATTAGGAGATAGAGAGAGAGAGAGAGATAGAGAATAGATATGAGTAGATAGAGAAGAGATATAGGCTCTATGATCTCTCTCTTCGCTCTCTCCCCTCTCTCTCTCTCTCTCTCTCTCCTCTCTCGAGCTCTCTAGAGCTTCTCTCTCTCTCCTGAGAGAGAGAGAGAGAGAGAGAGCGAAAGAGAGAGAAGAGAGGTAGAGAGGCTAGAGTCTAGAGAGAGAGAGAGAGATGAGAGACATATATATATAGATATATATATATATATATATATATATATATATAATGCTTACTTTGCGTACCAGTAGTGCTCGTCGTAATTCGACAGCCCGGGTACTTTTGTACCTGGGACACGCGCCGTGACATCTATTTTCGAAAACGGTCATGCGCTGTGTAACGGCAGGTCATGTGCCATCTCTGGTGCCGTGTCGTGAGGGGTCATCTTCTCTCTACGAACACGAGCTATGAGTGGCGGCTGCATTCTGAAGCATGGTCGCGCATGGTGTCACGGCGTGTCTGCCGCATTGTATAGCAGGGGCTCGTGCCGCGTCACGAAAGGTCGTCTGCCTTCTGTAGAAGCGGCACACGTCGTAGCGCCAATGTTGTCTGCCCCATGCATCAACACGCGCGCAATGTCCTGGAACGTCATCTGCTGTCTATAGCAGGGGCGCGTAAGTGGGACGGAAGCTACGCTCTTTAGTAGGTACGCGTGCTGTCACGCAAGGGCATCTACCTCCCACGAGAGGGTCACAAGTCTGGCCGCGGCGGGTCAGTTACGCTCAGCAGCGCGGGCACGTTTCGTGAACCGGCCAGCGGAAAACTCGGTGGCGGCTGGCAGCCGCCGCTCCGCCCGGACCTCTGCCGGAGAATGGGCTCCCAGAGCGTGCTTAAACGGATGGCATCCATGATGGATGGAGCCGAGGGAGTCGCCGCGAATGCCTGAGGGAGCGGGCCGCAGCGGGTCTGCGACGCCGCCATTGGCAGAATCTCTTCCAGGCGACCACAAGACGGATGGTCGGAAACGTCGCCGCTCGTCGGTACCACTATTCAGTTCATTTCTGGCGGAGCTCGACTTAGGGGCATTCATTCTTCACCGGGAATGACAGCCCCGCACTAAATGGTGCTGGCCCCGAAACACTGAATGGGCAACGACCTACCTGGGCATGGCGTGCCGCACTGAAGTAGTGTGGTTGTAGCTAGAACTCGGCTTTGTATCCTGGAGTAGTCAACCCTGTCCTGGACTGTGTTACAGGCATTTGGCGGCTTCACTGTGCATTTCAATGATTTGTACGGCTTTAGTTTGAAACACGGCTTTTTGGTTTTCACCCAACATAGAACAGAGAGGGGGGGGGGGGACTTTTCCGAATTGTTGGCGCAAGGCTACATGGATTTCCTTTTCCACATAGGGTGACAGCCATCATGACAGTTTTTTGGAAATAATGTCCCACTACGCTATCTAACTTTCCGTGCCAATTAATAGTGTAATGTGTCCCGATACGTTGCACGTTCAGTACTGATGATGAGCTTTCAAATATGAAATGTCACCATTAATGGGAGCATTCAGGTATGAAATGTTGCGCGTCAGTATCTGTGGTGGGTATCCTGATATCCTGGACGCTCAGAATAACAGAAGATACTGTCAACCAGACAATATTACAGGAACATGATGTTTCGATCAGGTTATGATTGGGAGTATCAACAATTATCACTGACCGAAACTTCGCAGTTTTTAATATAAAAGTCAAATTCCTGATATTTTATCTTTTAAAACGGCCCGGGTGCTCGTGAATAACCTTTGCTGGAGCGGAGGAAGTCAGTCTGACCACGCCCCAAGATCTCAAAAATAAGATAGAGGGCTCAAATTCTGAGGGTGGGTTGACCTGTGTGTGAGTTCACTGGCGTTAAAGTTTGAGTTTTCGAGGTCATTATCTTTAAGTCAAATAAGGTAAAACAAGGACAAACTACAGATTGGTGCTCAAAGTGTCCTATACCTGCTTATGCAACCGTCTTGAACCTATATACTAAATGACATTCGTCGCTATTCAGTTGCCTACAGCTATGCAAAGTTGGGCGCGACTCACCCGCGCCGCTCTGAGACCAGTCTGGAAAAACCTACGGGAGTCAGATCAACTCCGGGAGGTGTGCTTAACGTTATGCCCTGGTATGCTGCAGGTCGCTTATCGCCGTCACATATGAAGATTTTCAGAGCGTTGAAAATGCCAAAGCATCAGGACCGTGAATCCAATCTAAAGCATATCAAGCGTAGTCTTTTATTTTGTTAGTAAGGATAATCGGTTAACATGCATTTCGTGGACTTTGCCGTTGTCTAGTTGTTCACTGGCGTAAGTCCGACGCCGAAATGAATTTTGTATAACAGATACTTAACGTCTGATATATCTGGAAAATACCTGAGACCTGTCATGCCTTTCTCATGATGAATGTGGATGCCATCGCATTCAGCCATTCGGCCATCAGCCACCACCATCAGTTATTTCGCCACCACCATCAGCCATCAGCCGCCGCCATCAGTCATCACACGCCATTTTGAAACCTCTGGAATCTAACAGTCCCTTCCCCGGTGAATTGAAGCTGAAGCTCTATCCTTGATCACATGTCTTGGGTGGAGCTTTTTATTTATTTTTTATTTTTTAAGGCGCCGTGATCGCCAGGTGTGGTTTGGTTCCTCAGCGCGGGACCAAAATAAGAAACAATTCGGTTATGGGTGCTGATATATGACAGCAGCGTAAGGTTTTGGGGACATCTTATCTTTTCGCCCAGCAAAACAAAAATTATAGAGCTCCACGAGTGCTCGTTGCCTGACGTGCCCTGCGCTGTCTCCCTACGCTAGCCCTGCCAGCTAGCTATAATCTCAGTCTCCAAGCCACGGGACGCTCTCCACGCGGGCAGTCCTGAGGTCTACTGGTCTTTCCAGCTGTAATCTCAGACTCCAAACCCCGGGACGCTCTCCACGCGGGGCCGTCCTGGGGTGCACTGGCCTAGCCAGCTGCAGTCTCAGACTCCAATCCCTGAAACGCTCTCCACGTAGGCCGTCCTGGGGTCTACTGGTCTTACCAGCTGCGGTCTCTAGTCTCCAAACTCCTGAATGCGCGATCCGCGAGAGGCCGTCATGAAGGAGGCGGTCATGTGAAGCCCGTGTGAAGCCCGTGTTCTCGAGGTTCTCGAGCTGCTGTATACCGTCCTGGAGAGCTCTGGTCAAGCGTAGGTCCGTCTCCTCCAGCCGCTGGCAGTCGCCCTGGCCCTTGAATGAGCGCTGCGTGCACGAGCGTGTGGTCGTCGCGCCGCTGCGCCGGGCCGTCCCTCGCCAGCTCTCCCGTAGTCCGGCAGGCTTGGCAGGTTAATGCCAGCAAGTACAGGCTGTCAGCCAATCTCCTCGGTAATGTAATGCTGCCGCACGTGGGACGTCCTGACCTGCTCGGTCGTCCTCGTCGTGATCCAGTTAGCATGATCGATCAGGCTGATACGAACTGCGTCAATGTCATTCGACCTCGGTGATTCGTCCGCTCGGTGTCACGGGCGTGGCGCCAGAGCATCAGCGGGCTGCTAGCGCGTGAGAATGGGCCTGCAGAGTGACGCAGCAATAATTGTTTGCGGCTACTTTGATCGCTAAACTGAGGCGCCAGTTGTCCAGCGCGTATGTTCGTATATATATATATATATATATATATATATATATATATATATATATATATATATATATATGTGTGTGTGTGTGTGTGTGTGTGTGTGTGTGTGTGTGTGTGTGTGTGTGTGTGTGTGTGTGTGTGTGTGTGTGTGTGTGTGCGTGTGTGTGTGAGTACATAGTATTGTGATAATATATGTACATAAAGTATTCTTTACACATTTAGGGCTCTGTATGCCTTTGTTGTGTATGTGTTGTCAACAACGGCAACGTGCCGCTATTTGGCAAACATAGTACACGTATATATATATATATATATATATATATATATATATATATATATATATGTGTGTGTGTGTGTGTGTGTGTGTGTGTGTGTGTGTGTATATAATATGAAATATGATGCATGAATGTAATAAACATGAAATGTGGATGTTTTGATTTTGCTTTTTTACTTGTATAGCTTTCGTGTTTGCTTGCACATTATTGTGACAACATATCCCAGAAAAACAGTCCGATATGGAGTCACCCAGTTTTTCTGTTGGCTATCAGAACACTCGCATCTTTTCGCTTTGCTTAGCTCTAAAATATTTTCGGTCGCTCGACCCGAAGTTGAAGACTCGCCACATGTCACAATGTACGACAGGCAAAGCGCCACACAAATTTATCAAGAGAGCTTTCTTATTACGCATGAGTTCCGTAATGCAAAGCATGTTCTGCGTTAACCACTGCGCGTCTGGGAAACCAGAGGTGCGGGGTTCGACTCCCTGCGGTGCCTGCCCTTCCTGCCAGGGTGAGAGGCAAGCGACGCCATATAGCCTCAGCAGCTGAGTGCGTCGTGAAGTCCCAATGACACACACACATGCAGAGTATCTTGGCATAAAGGTACAACGAAAAATCACTGGCAGTGCATGCCCACGAAGGAGTTTGTATTTAATGGTCATGGCTGGCATTAATGCTAACTGGCATAATCCAGATACAAAGGACAGATGCGTCTGATACTGCAGTTTGTTATAGACTGCAAATGCTATTCATGTGTGTAGGGCTCATAGTATTGTCTGTTCCTGGACTAGGTGGCTCTTAATATTCCTCATAATAGGCTTATAATATAATAAAGGCTCATCATATTGTTAGTTCCTAAACCTGTGCATTAAATTCACTGACAGACAGGCCTCCAAATATAAGCTGCTACGACTACGTCCATGCACTGCGTGTTCACCATGTACTAGTGATGACACTATGATATACCGCTGAGGTATTTGAGGCAACGTCCTCTGTATTTGTTAAATAGTGCGATGCAATTTTTTTCTTCAGCCATTGTTTGTTCTGTTTTTTGTGATAATGGCAACGATACCAGCTGATGTTCATTTCAAGTTGACACCATAATTTTCTCATGACATTGGCACGCCCCCCCCCCCCCGCCCAGAAACCAAACGAAATTGACCTCGGCCAGTTAGACACGTGATCACTTGCTCGGTTTGAACAAGACGATTACACCGCTAGCGTGCACTCTGTCGTGCTCTCTGCGTTTGTGGGGATGTCAGTTCATCGTGCCAGGCCCGGCTGAGCCCGGTCCTGACTGTACGCATGCCTGTGCGTCCCAGACACGGTCAACGGGATGAGTGCCGTCTCGAGCCAGTGTCAGGGCTTGGCTGAGCCCGGTCCTGACTGTACGCGTGCCTGTGCGTCCCAGACACGGTCAACGGGATGAGTGCCGTCTCGAGCCAGTGTCGAGGCCTGGTGCCGGTGGCACCGCTCGGGCCGGCGGCGCTGCAGGCCAGGCCCCCAGCCGCTCTCGACATCATCCTGGGCGTCAACAGGCAAGGTGAGGCCCGACCCGCCCCCCCCCCCTCACCCTCGTCACCCCGCCCAGCAGCGCCCATCCCCCGTCGAGCCTGCCCTCCCCCGCGGATAATCCCGAGGGACGGAATCGCCATGGAAACGACGCTGGCCGCCTGCGAGTTTCTGGTGTAGGGTTTCATCCAAACGACTGCGCATGTGGATGTGTGTGTGCGTAGGTATAGACGCGCGGCCAATATAGCCATGGCGCGGTGGAGGCAGCGGCAGCAGCTGCCTTTGACGGGGTGGTGTCTGCTGCCATGTGTCATGGTAGGGGCAAACTCGGCGGCAGTGAGCCGGGTCATGGGTGGGCTCGGAGCACAAAACCAGTGCTTGTCTTGTCTGTGGGTCCCAGTCCCCGCCTCCCCCCCCCCCCTCCCCCCCCCCGCCCACGATGTGCGCGAACGTCCATCACGAGGCACACGACCTCGGGTATAATTAAATTGTTCTTTTCATTCATTGTTCGCGATCACTAAAATATCCGGAGGAAAACTTCTCAATGTCCCGCATCATCTCAAGTCCCGGTAGCTCAGTTGATTAGAGCGCCTGCATTTCGATCCACCCACCCGTGACGCTTGGTTTGAGCCGCTCTAGTCTTAGTGGCTAGCTATTTGCGCCTGGCAGGGGTGGCCTGCGGACCTTGGTGGCGACCGCGTTAAAGGTCACGTGACGTCAGAGGGTGGATGGGCCGAGCCGAGCAGCGACGCGTTAAACTTTTGCCGCAAAATTGGGCACGTTGACCGGAATTTCACGATGAAATGGTGGGGTCAGGGCTCGTACAACAAACACTGCTTAGCGTGAGTTCTGATGCCAGAAATCCATCCATTCAAAGGTTGGCACTAAACCTACATCTTGTTAAAAATTTGTCCGAGGGTATTTTGCTCAGCGCCAAAATTAGCGGGCCATTTGACGCGCTGAATTTGCTTTGCTGCTAACTTTGATGTCACAAATCGACCCATAAATCTCCCCGGGCCATGGTGTCCCGACCGAGGTCAGATTTGTTCGCCTCGCAAACAGAGCACGTCGGGTAATGGATACCGGCGTCATCCTCGCGTCCCGAACCATGGCTGGGCGGAGCCCGAACTGATTTGGTGTGAGGATTCATGGGGCATTGGAGACGCATGAAATTTTCTGGTTTCTTGATGAAATAATGTTTTTAAGCAACTTTTTTCACGTTCGCGATGCTGTATATTACGAGGACAATTTGTCTTGTCGTCGAGAAGACGCACAATGTGAAAGCTGAGACCGACAGACACAATGAAACCCTCATTTGTGCGTTGTGATGTACTGTGCTCTGGCTGAAGCCCATCAAGCCGTCATTTTCAGAGATCTTCATGTCCCGTCCTTTTCAGAGATCTCATGTCCTGTCACTTGCAGAGATCACCACGTCACGTCATTGTGAGGGTTCTCATGTCCTGTCATTTTCAGAGATCGTCATGTCCCGTTGCTTGCGGAGATCGTCGCGTCACGTCATTTCCAGGGTTCTCATGTCCTGTCATTTTCAGAGATCGTTATGTCCCATTATTTACAGAGATCGTCATGTGACAAGCTTAACCAATGCAACAGGGATCAATACAATTAGATGCATGCGTCTTCGCTGGTTCACGGGCGTGCAGTTTCAGTCTGGCCATCCCTCCAGCACACGTATCGCTGCACTTTGAAGAACGACCTGAAAAAAGAACGCCGATTCACAAACTAATCGAGCTAGCAGAACTGTTCAATGGCTGGCACGAGATCAGAATTCAATAAGCCGTCTTCCTCCACGTCCTCTGCGTGTCCAGCCACGCTAGACCACGTCGCCGTGGGGCTGCTCCCTCCCGACAGCTGGTACATATTGTGAGTATCGGCCAGCTGGCGCATTTTTCGCCGGGCTCTCCGTGTAATCTCATCGACGGGCGCATCAGCCCCGCTGATACCGCTCGGGTTCCAGGCGCCGGCCTGCTGGCTCCGCCCGGGCAGCCGACGCCCGCACCCCTGCCCGTGGCCGAGAGTCGTCCGCCGCTCACTCAGGGGGTAAGTCCGCGCTCCTGCCCGTGGCCTGTAGTTGTACGACGCTTACGCAGGTGGTAAGTCCGCGTCCCTGCCCGTGGCCGAGAGTCGACCGCCGCTCACTCAGGGGGTAAGTCCGCACCCCTGCCCGTAGCCTGGAGTTGCACGACGCCCACGCAAGGCTTATATATGCACCGGCGCCAGTGATGGTGCTGCAGGGATATGTTCACACTTTTTCAAGTGATCACGACTCGTACGCTCTGGATACACACAAGCTTGCTCAAAGCACTGCGCCAAGGGTGGCGACTAACCTTTGCCTGTTGCTGATACAGATGGTGATATCGCACCCTATATATACCCCTGCAGCAGGCGCAAAACGTCCACCGCTGGCACACGGACTACTTACACCGGTTACGTCTGCCAGTGGCCGGTACCCATCACACCGACAAAGGAAAACTTGCACATCTCATATACCATTATCAATCATTGCATCACCTTTTTAATGACCAAGAGTTATCCGCTGCCGTTACTGGAGTATGTTAACAAATAATGGCCCGCGGATGGTGCGGTCAGCATCTCCGCAAACGGTGATGGGTTGTCTCAGCTGGCGGAGGTAAGTACACGCCGACACGCTCCGACCAACGGCACCGTGGCAGCCACCAGTGGCAGTGTGCCCATCCCCCCATCCCCTACCCCCTGAAACATAGCTTAAATCGCGCGAGTTTTCCGCTGCGATGGGCGTGAGTGAGCCTGGTCGACCACGACGGAGGCTGGATCCTGCCTCTTCGCCGCCTCAGCGGAGCGCTAGCCGCCTGATAGGCCCGCTGTCGGCCACGAGTGTCTGGTGGGGTCGGCTCCACGTACACCCACCGTTCCGCGGTGAATATTGAACGGGTCCCGGTCCCCCCCCCCCCCCCCAACTGTCGTGTGACTCTCCCTACGCTCCGCCACATGACGACCGCCCCCTGCGGGGGAGCCAGGGAGCCACAAGTTCAGGAACTTGTGGTCGGTCTCCGCCGCGGCGGCGGCGGCGGCGACGGCGGTGGCCGGACCGCGTCGGCCGGGCGGACGGCCCTCGGTCGCGTGATGAGCGAGCCCGGCCATTAGACGGCGGCCACTGCCATCGCTCAGCCGCACAGGCGGCCGGCCGCGACACGATCAAATTGCTCCGGTCACCTGGGTTGCCCGGCTGGATCAGCGCAGGCCGTGTCGCCGCCAGCTGGTTGCCAGATTCGCGGCGAGGACGAAGGCGGGCGGTAGGACGTCGTTTGCGGGAAGGCGGCCGAGACGACGACGTCTGTGATGGCCCACGGCGTGTGGAGCCCACATATTGCCTCCGTATATTGCCTGTTTTACTGAGCGCCTTTCATATTTGTGGCTCTTTGTTTTCCACGCCAGCCTGTGCTGGGCGTGATAACACAGAACACATGCTCTGCGAAGGCCGCTGGGTGGTCCAAAAAGACGATCACATTTGCGCATTATGGATCCCGCTATGGACCCCCGCCATATCTTATGCATTCTAACTGCATATTCAAACACGGGTTTGCTTTCATGTTTGTTCAAAGCGTGCTTCCATTTCAAGAGGGCGTATGCTGTATTTTTGTGAAGACAGAAAAGAGTGTGTCTAGAACTGCCACCACGCAATACCACACTGCACCACGTCCTTCAAGAACTGCAGCTCCGTTGCACACGAATACAGACATTATCTCCAGCTTCTGCCCTTACACGTCCACAGGCCCCATTCTGAGCTCGTGATCAATACGATCGCCAACACTCTTTGTAGTGCCTGCTTAATTTGAACTCCGGCACCGTTCGGATCCCTGCTCAATGCGCCTCCCGACGCCGTTCGGGGCCCCAGCTCATTACATATATTGACGTGGCCTGTAGATCCTGCTGAACGCACACCCACGCCGAGACCTGACGTACTGAGCCGTGCGACAGTGTCGAGACCTGACGTACTGAGCCGTGCGGCCGTGCCGAGACCTGACGCACTGAGCCGTGCGACCGTGCCGAGACCTGACGTACTGAGCCGTGCTGACGTACTAAGCCGTGCGACGGTGCTCAACGACATCCGGGGCTATTTCTCAAATCGACGGCCGCTGACGCCACCCTGCAGTCATCACCATATTCAGCCGACTCAGTTGTTAAGTACTGTTCAGTCCCGCGGACGTCGACTTTGGAAGCCAGTTTCTAAACCACCACTGCCAGCGGTCTTAACCTCACCGTATGTGCCACGTTCTCCCACATCCGAGTCCCCACCCTCGGCATGGCCGGCGGCACGACCCTGGAGCGGCCTACACCGGGTGTCCCCCGTAGCGACAGCTCGTTCGAGCCGCTGGATCCCGTGTCTCCTGCTCAAAAGGCGACCGGCGACACTGAGCGCAGGCGGGCCGGCACACTCTGCCGGCCGGCCGCGCCGCATCGATTGCGACTCATCCCGCTCGGAGGAGCGGCGACGGCGGGGAAGACGCGCCGAGAGGCCGCCCGGCGCGGCGGGAAGGGCGCCGTCGCGAGCCGACCCCGGCCGGCGACGGCGGTAACTCCTCTGGGCCGAGCCGACGCAAAGGGCGGGGAGGGGGGGGGGGGGGGGCGTGATTTGATCCGACGCCTGATCAGTGGTTGTATCCGGGCCGCGAGCGGGACGGATCGAGAGCTCTGACCTAACGAGGCCCTGGTGTGCCGTGTCGTCATACCCCTGACGCCGGCCAGCTGCGCGACACGTCTGCGCTGTCGGAGCCGCCGGTCGGCCCGGCGCGATGAAAGCTATAGAGTGTCGCCTGAAGCTCGTGGAAGCGACGAACTGGAAACGCCAATGGCCTCACTTAGCAAGGTTTGATGAAATCGATTTTTCCCGGTTTCAGCCCCCATTTGGTTTTCGTGGTCCTTTGAGCTGTTCCTAGGCTACAAACATGGCGCAACTCCGTAAACCTTTCAAAGTTCCTCTGAAGAGCGAAAGCCACAGCGTGTTCGTACGTAAACCTGACGGAAGACACTCTAAATGTGTACCCACGTACCACGGAGACCAATTCAATCTACTCTGTGCTCGTTCAGTGGTCCATTTAGTCATTTAGCTATCGGCCGCCCTGTGCGAAGTGGTCCACGCCATTTCTCGGTCCGCTCCAGTCTGTTCAGGTCTAATACCGACCAAGGACCATTCGGTTCTCCACTCGGTGTCTGACCACCGTACCGGTCCTCGAAAACATCCCGAGAATAGAACAGCTTGCTGGACAAACTACCAGTGGTGTTAGCTTTCTTACCACCGGTGTTGAACGGCAGTTCATGCACGAACTGGCCCTCTATCACGATCCAACTTCGCTCGGGTTTGCCCTTGAACCGGGCTTCGGCTCTCAGGGCAGCACGTCCACCGCCATCGACTGTTGAAGTTATCAACGACAGCAATCTAAATGAGCTTTAGGCTACAGTGACAGTGCTGCGAGCTCTCCTCAGCTCCAATGGGAAGAGCTAAGACTGCCGTCGGCGGCTGGTCATCAGCGACAGGTTGTTATCAACGGAGGATTTCTCGAGTAATCGACGAAGGCCGCCTGTGGCCTCAGGAGACAGCCTCGCCCGCAGGCGGAGCTTCGGTCGGACGGGAGGTCGTACATTCGCAAAACGTATAGATCATTACTGTTTGTATAGGTTCTGGATTTTGTATCACTTAGGTAAAATAGCGAGAGGCGGAGACAAATATCGGGAGCAGGGCAGGGGTGGATCCAAAGGGAGCAACCGTTCCATGTCCCCCTTCTCCCAAGGTGGCCAGCGTAGACAAATTAAAATATTTAGCCTGAAGAAAATCTAAGCACCGTTTATTGAAACACGTGTGTTTTAGAACACTTCTGCAGATAAAAGATAGGAAAACCTGGTAACATTTTTATTTTGTAAAAATCGAAATACCTTTTGCATTCACCCCCAAGGTAGTCCTGCCACTTCCCCCCCCCCCCTCTCCCCCTCCAAGACGGGGTTCTGGATTTGTCTCTAGGGAGGGAAGGAGGCAGGGTTCATTCAACTGCATGCGAAGCTTCACCCATATTCCATATTTACATCTGGATATATGTATATATATATATATATATATATATATATATATATATTATCGACGAAGGCTATATATATATATATATATATATATATATATATATATATATATATGGTAGAGTGGCATAGGCAATAGTCGGAATAAGCAGTACTATATTACACCGTACAACGTCTCACAGACTCGCGTCCTGATTGGTCACCGCCGGGTTATCTATCAACATGTCCGAGGCATTCATCGCGCTGGTATAGCCAGAAAAGTACAATGATTTGAGAAGCGATTATCCCTAGGCCTTTTTGGCTTGGCTACTAGAGATCAAAAATGTGCCAGGAGTCCCAAAGAGATTCCAGTATGGCATCCCAGGATTCCGTTAACTCGTGCTCGAGTGGGGTCACATCTACACTTTTCCTCAAAGTCGTTATCCTGAATAGCTTCCGAACGGCTTGGCGTAGCCGCTCCAAACGCTATAGCGCCGTAGGTATCGGAATAGCCGTGCGTGCGGTACAGGATTAGATCTGCCCTGCAATGTATTTGACCTATACCAGGTCAATGTCAGGCTATATCTGTCAGTGAAATCAAGTCCTAGGGAACCGCTCAATGTGATGCGACAGCAGACATTGTCGCTGGTAACTATGTAGAACAGCCATTGACCTCAAATTATACCGGTCATTCCTACGTGATGACGAATACGCACCTAGAGTACTTGGCGCTGACTCTAGCTTTTGAGATCCAAATGATATCGTCTTTTTGTCATTTGTACTCCCCAGAGGTCACTGACTGACCTTTCCTATATATATATATATATATATATATATATATATATATATATATATATATATATATATATATATGTATGTATATTATGTTAGGTCTGACCTGATATCAACACCGGTGAACTTTTCTTATTAGAGGTATGTACGTTAAAGCTGGTGCGTGAGGATGTATGAAGGCACTTCAGACACTGATCTGGAGCTCGCCATAGTTTGACCTATTTCGCCAGAGGTAGTACAGAGGTACGCGGTCCAGGAAACCCATAATTCAACACAAGTGAGTTCCCATAGAGCCTCACCACCCTGTGAATTTGGTGTCTCCAGCTCTCTTGGCTTTGAGTTGATTTGATATTTGATCTTCAGTAGATTTTGAGACCCCTTTAGATTTGACTGGGGCTCAAGTTTACGCTCCCCCCCCCCCCACCCCACCCTACACCCCAGTGCGTCAGATTCAACCGGCCACGGGGCGCGTGTCAGCAGGGGACCCTATGGGATCCTGGATCCCCTCTCAGGATCCAGGCACATGACTGTTGTAGACGATTCGCATGTTTGTGCTAGGCATACGACAGTGGACCTTAAATACTGGCCTTAGCCAATGTGAAGCGCAGACTCTCGCGCAGCCGCGTTGCTCGCTCCAGGGTGACGTCATCTCCTCGCAGGCGGAGGTGGCCATGCAGCAGCTTCGGCGGGCGGCCGGGACCTCCTCGAACGCGCCTTCCGGCCGGCCATCTCGGCGGCTTCCCTCCGCCCTCAGACACCCTTTGTGTGTTGGGGCGGCGTCCTTACCGCCGGGGCAGCGTTTCTGGCGGCGACAAAGGCCTCCCCTGGGGTCGACTGCTGGCTCAGCGGCGCGCCTGGCGGCCCGGCCGGCGCCGGGTCACCGCCACCGGCGCCGACGCCAGCCCCGCTCGCGCGCGCTGAGCCACCCTGCTCACGGCCGCGACGGAAATGACGGCCAATCCCGTCCGGCGTCAGGGCTGGCGCTGGCAGCGCAGACTCGCCCACGTGCCAGCCTGCGAAGCTTATATACTGCGCGTTCGCCGGATCGGGAGAAGCGCCAGATGGATCTCGCTTTGTTGTCGTGAGGTTCTGGAGTCGTGATTATGCGTGGTCTTGTGAAATGTGGGGGCTTTGTGACGAGCCAAAGAGTGTGTTGACGAGCTTGTGTCTTACATTTGTCTCTATACAGTTATCTCCGGGGCGGTGTGCCTCAGGGATTGCCGGATAGTTAACGGTATACGGTTCACTCTAGGCTTCAGTCTCAAATCGAATGAGATGCGCATCCCTAAATTTGGTTTATTTTGACAAGGCGCGCTTTTCAGTTGAGCTTTTGTTTCAGTTTTGCAAGTTATATGCTATTGTCATTCTTAAAGTATAACTAAAAGAGACCAAGAATACGGGACATACATCTGTTGTGGACGGCATAACTGCAGACGTGGCAAACGAAATCTGCTTCCAAAAGTCGACATGATGTTGGAAATGAATCCAGATAGACCGGCCGGCAGATAGCCCGCGCAGATGCCTACTCAGCTAGAACGTACGCATGGCTGCGGGACGTGCTCGGTTTAGGGCGCTCCCTGTCTTTTGGCCCAGTACAAGCAGCATGTGCGTTATCTCATGTGTACAGATTGTGCTCAAGTCATAAACATAAGTTGATCTGTTAAATTATCAAAAGTTAATTAAAGGGAAGTTAGGCTTTCTAGCGCAAATATGCCGTCATTCCTGCCAACGCCATAAGAATGCCCATTACAGCGCACTGTAGGCCTCATTTTGCGTCCAGGAACCTGAAGGGAAAGGCTATACCAAATAAATAAATATCCACGTCAACCTAAAAGGCTTCTGAATACTTTTCACAATTCATAGTGTTTAGGATGTCTCAATCCTAGCTGCAATTCTGCAGTACCAGCTGAAATCGTACTGGGGCTCAGAGTGTTTGCTTACGCTTCACACAGTCCAGTCACAAATATGACATTTCGGTCTCCTCCCTCCTTCCACGGTTGAACGTGAGCTGCAAACGAAATCTACTACGAGCAAGAATGCTGACCTATATATATATATATATATATATATATATATATATATATATATATATATATTGGATACTTTATATATATGTATATATATATATATATATGTATATATAACATGCTTGTAGAAACACTTAATGCAGAAAGCATTTTGTAAAATATTTTACCTATATGGCCATTTTACGCATGTACAATTGATGCCAGTATATTTCGTAAATAGAGAACATCAAAACGTTTAGTGGTAATCTTATGGTAGCAGACGACAACGCAATGAAAGTTCAACCAACGCACAGTTGTAGCCGCTAGGTGGTTGTCAGGACGGGGGGGGGGGGGGGGGGGACAGGGCATGTCTCTCCAATGTTGTAGACTGGAATATTTTGTCAGCTCCAATTTTGCCCGCAGAATGCGTTTTTCACATCCCCAAACACGAGAGACCGGGTTGCATACGTGGTGCAATGCCAGCTGAACACAAAATGGCAAGATAGGACGTACAGTAGCAACGCATTGGGGTCCATATGGAGCAATTCTTCTCAGCTACCCTGGAAGACACCAGCAGCTACTGTTTTTGCTCAGATAAATTTCAGGTCATGAATGGAAATCGTTGCATTAACACGCGCTCGAGCCGGGGTCAAATTGACACCCCGAAGGTTTTTCAGGATGACTTCCCTAACGGTGCGCGGCAGCCGCGCTAAATTTTGCATAGCTGTGGACAGTTGAATAGCGGATCGTTTGACATAAAAAATTTAGGTGTACCATGTAAGTTCGCTGACCTATGGCAGGTCAAAGTCAGGCCATGGTTTCAGCGAAGTCAATTTCTGGGGAATCGTTCAATCTGATGCAACAACGGAGTGTTAGACGAAGCCATACAACTCTGAAATGCTTTCTTAGGCAACACAAATATTGAATAAACAAATAAAATTGACCTCAGGTCAGGTACGAAGATCAGACTTGGGTCAAAACCAGCCTGTTCTATCACTCTAGGGTTTGATGTATGTGATAGTTTCTTGTGCTCATTTCGAATTCATTGATGGCAGGAACCGCATTATATATTTTCCATGGACTTTTTAGGGGTTATAATAGGTCGTTGACCTAAAATGACCCAGGTCAACATTTTATTTTTAAGAACATACTGCCTAGCGTAATCTTTGTCGTTTATTCAAATGCAAAACTCAGAGCAGTCTTGCATGAATTTGGTCACCATAACTTTCAAAAGGTGAAGCAAGGTCGCTGACCTTAAATGAGCATGTGACCTTTTGCTTAGCAACGGTTATCTAGGTTCTGGGCCACTAAAGACCAACCTGAAATTTTACCTTTTTTGACCCTAATTAGCTCGAAGATCATGACATAGGAATCTCAAACTTTTGACCTAAGTGAGTTCATGTACAAGTCAACACGTCCAGCAAATTTGGTGTCTCTAGCTTTCTTAGTTCCTGAGATGTCAAGGAGGTCAAATTGGCCCCCCACCCGAGCGAAGGGTATCCAGCCGGCAGCCCGGGCGCGTGTTAAGCTGTCTTTTTACGTGCCCAAGACACCTGCACCATATTATGGTCCTGTTGACATCAGGGAGAACATCATATATGTGATGAGCTCGGAAATGAACCCCAACGAAATCGATTCGAAATGTCGCGCGGCGATCACAGAAAAACCTTTCTGAGCTCGGAAATGAACCCCAACGAAATTCATTCGAAATGTCGCACGGCGATCATAGAAAACCCTTTCTCGAGTTGGACGAATACACTGCTATCTAGATGGCCGAAAAAGGTGATGGTGTTGGGGACCCTGGCTGCGTGTTTGTTTGAATAAGATGTAGACTAGCCTGGAGAACGTCCGTCGTTTTGGAATAAAAGTGCGATAGGTTTTTACTGCGGGTAAGGGCCTGTGCGGGTGAAATATCCATTGTTTCCTAAGTTATGAAGTCTCAGCCATGGGGTACCCACCCGCACCATGCTCCACAAAGAGGAACGAGTTTGGTTAACCTCACATTACCATAAGCATCACATTTAGCTCACCTTAACTTTATCGTAGTGGACCCTTCCCGCACTGAAGATAAATATCTAAAAAGGCACTGAATCCAGCGCGACCTGCTCTAATCGAGGCTCATGAAAAGGAGGAAAGCGCGTTAACACCTACGTAGGCCAGCCCGTCGTACCAGGAGGCGCAGGTGCGCCTAGCGTCCCTATGCATTGGATAGGATTCTCTCCATCAACAGTGGAATGTGCCAAGGTACACGTACTCAATGTTCGGCTATCTACGGAGGAGAGTTTTTTCATCCGGGGCGACAGTTCTGGTTTCATCTCCCTGCCCTTACGAATCGGATGTCCTTCCTACGATGGCCATGCAGGAAAAATGCTGTGCAAATTCTTTAGACTCAGGAAAAACGGCAGCAACTGGCCCTTGCAAGGAAAGCTGAGGATACTTGCGCATCAAGAACCTAACTACGTCACCCCTCTCAGTCCTCGGCTTGACACTGTATGCCTAGTTCCCTTTGCATTGTCGTCGAACTGGCTTCTGTTGTGGCTATATTGCCGTTGACCGGCCTGCTTTACCCCATGTACAAGCTGTAAGCATACTAATTTTGCAATTGTCAGATGGCCAATCATCAAAAACGACATTTTAAAATGCGAGCAGACGGTGGTCTAAACAAGGTCCTTTGAACGCTGTTTCCCGATCACTGTTTCCATTATCACTGTTTCCTCCGATCGCTGTTTCCATTATCATGCCAATAAATCCTTTATGAACAGTGCCAGAGTGATGTCACCGAACAGAGACTGAGCGCCTGTCCTGTTTCTCAGGCAACTGTCGAAATGCCGCCATTAGAGACGCCTCCTGTCGACTCGGCGTCGCTGGGTGGGCGCAGCGACACTAGCGCCAACGTCGCCGAAGCGGTGATCGAGGTAACCACGACGGCGGACGTGACGACCGAGATGGAGTGGGCGGGGGAAGCGCAGAAGAGTTCTGGTCCCCAAGAAGTGGCCACTGAGGACAGCGCAGAAGAGGGACCCGAAGATAATGAAGGCACACTTCTCATCGATAGTGAAGAGAAGTTCGACGAGAACGATGATAATGACAACCCCGTTGCAATCCGAGGTAAAATATCAGGCTCCTGCGGGCATACTGATTTCAAAACTTTGCTGCTTAGCCCAAAAGCCTCGCGTTCCAAATTTGCCGGAACGGAAATTTAGTCACGTCTTTTGTTAGCGACCTACTCAAATGACCGCCGTAATTTCGTCTCCACGTTCCGGCCGGCCGGCCGCATTCCGCAATGCACTGCTTGGTGGTTATGCCAATACAATTGGCGCATGAAGTATGTGGTTCAAGAGGACGACGGGCATGTTACAGTGCCAGTTGATAACTATCGCACGGTGCTAGCCAACGGATACACTCCCACCCGCTGCGTGCGATTATTTATTTCCTAAGCTGCCGCAGTTATACAAATCCACACTTCAACCGGCTGCACGCGTTCGGTAATGCGCTGTCGGGTCATACCAAAGAAGAGGTGCCTTCAGTCAAGCACGATGTTATGCTAACAGTTGACAGCACTCCAACAGTGCCGTCAAACGCTCACAGTCCCGCTCTAGCACGAAAGATACGCTTTAATTGGCCGCCGTGTCTTCACCACCACGATTCGGCCTGAGCCTACGTTCAGTGATGCGTCGTCAGGGGTCACAGCGATAACATGGTAACCGTCGGCCGACAATTGCATTAAGGTATCAGTGGATATCCCTCCCATGGTGCTATTGAGAGCACACTCCGCGATCGCCCAGCACCTTATAGGTTTCTAAGGATGGCCATAATTTAGCTCATCAAGCCCCGGCCGCCCGCCTGCTTTCGGTAATACGTTGGCAGCGGTCATACCTATAAATGAGATGCCTCCGGCAGAGTACGATGCTACTGTGCCAGTTCAAAACACTCCACAGTGTTTTTAAATCACACGGCTGCTCCCGCCGCACAGGATTATCATTATTTCTAAAAACGGTTGGTCAATCCACGCGTCGGTCAGTCGCTCCCAGTCGGTAATCCGGAAAGTCACATAGCATAGACATAGCATAATCACAATCAATAGCATAATCAATAGACATCACAACAGCATAGATGACGTCATCCGACGGCCTGGTCACGGCACCAGTTCAGTGCAGGAGCCGGCCGAGGAGGGAGGGAGAACTGCGGCAACCACTTATAAACATTTAAAGTCCTTCGCAGAGCGTGCGACCGCATGTGCAATCTCTGTGGGGGCGAATGGGTCACACTGCGGCAGCGTTATCAACTAGCACCGAACCGCGGTCGTCGCTCAACGTGGATTTGCTCATCTACGGCAGCAGCTAAAAATGCATATGATCGTGGGCGGCGTGTGCGACCTCGTGCACTCGATGACGCTTTGGAGCGGCTAATAACTGGCACGGTGTCGTGGTCGACAGCCGATGCTCCCTATTTCATCGCTGTGACCCTCTGACACCGCAGTACTGAATGCAGGCGCCCGGCCGGAGCGTGGATTTGCTAAACTGCAGCAGTCTATAAAACATATTTACAATCGCGAGAGACTAATGTGGCCGTCCGGATTCGTGGTCACCACTGCCGGAGGGCTATCAGCCCTCGGCTGACGGCCATAATTTGACTGGCATTACATGACACCAACAGCGCGATACTGAGTGCGTTCGGCAAGTGTGGAGTGTGGTAGTGAAACTGTAACGGACACACACACACACACACACACACACACACACATATATATATATATATATATATATATATATATATATATATATAACTGTGCCTAGAGAGTGCGACTGTGTGCATGTGGTATCGCCGTGGAATCGCCATCAATTGGCACCGTCACCTGGTGTGCTGACGACGATAACTTTTTTAGGCCTAGAACCGCTCACAGCGCATTGCCGAATACCGTCGGTCGGAGGAAGCGAGAATTTTCTAAATTACGGCAGTATTTTCAGCTATTGTCGCCGGCAGCACATGCAATCAAGCGCCTTCGATAGCACCGTGGAAGAGCTATCAGTTGGCATCGTAACATGATAGCCTAACACGTATTTTATTAGTATGATCCTCGACAGCCAATTACAAAGTTCAGGCGGTTGGCCCGAGCGTGGTGGCGAAACCGCGGCAGTTATTAAACAAATAAAGTATATTACAATTAATCTTATTAAATGGGTTGGAAAAATCTCGCCACCACGCTCCGGCTGTCCATGCACGGTTAGTAATGCGATGCTAGCGGTTCAGACTAATCAAGTACTTGCCGTCCGCCGGCCACCGCCTTACGGCGTCAGTTGAATGGGGGCAGCGTGTCGGAATGTGGTGGCGACACTATGGCAGCCATGTAAGATTATTCACAATCGTGAGTGAAGGGTGAAAATCCATGTATTTGACAGCGCCGCGTGAGTGATATCAACTGCTTGGGACAGACCGTCGCATCATGATGAGTCTGACACCCAGTTTATTGGTATGACCACGGACAGCCTATTAAGGAACGCGGTGGCCGGTCGAGCCGCGGGTTTTCTTAACTATGGCAGCCTTTTAAAAGTCAAATACAATACGACCGTGTGCGGCGGGTGCATCCCTGCGTATTCGAGGGCACTGCCGGGAGGCTGTCACTGGAATTATAACATGGGTGTCAGCCGACGACATGTATTTTATTGGGATGACTCCCGTACTGAATGATGAACCCCATTAGTTGAATCGGTGCGGTCGCCAGGAATATTGTGGCGAAGCTACAGCCATCATTTATAATTATTCAGAAAAGTGTGTGAAGGCTGGAGCTGAATACGTTTGTCAGTGGCATGGGTGCGCTGTTTTCTGGCACCGTAACATTGTGTTCGGACACAAACCCTGACAGAGGCAGTGTCCAAATGCGTCCCGTCGACCGAAGTGTGGATTGCCTAAATTACGACAGCATTTTACAAATGTGCGCTATTTTGTGCGGCGAATGCAACCATGTGCATTCGATATCACTTGGGGGGAGGGTAACGCTTGGTAACAGCGTCGGCCAACAGCACTTAGCTTAATAATATGACCTCATGGCAGCACGTTTCTGAACGCGGACAGGCTGTCAAAGCCTGAATTTGCTAAATAGCGTCAGTCTTTCACAAACAATATTTGTAAACGCGTGCGACTGATGTGACTGTCCGCATCCCGTAACATGCTGATGGAGGGCTATAAACGTGTAGATAACATGGCCCTCGACCAAAGGCCCCGAGTTTACTGGTGTGCCCCCTGACAGGACTGATTGCATGCGGCCAGCCGTAGCGTGGCGGCGAGACTAAAGTGAAAGCGTTCGAATCTCGGTTGCGCCAAGGCCCCTGAGCGCCGACATGGCTGCCGATGCCATGGCATGCAGCTGCCGATGCTGTGTACAAGGGATTTCACGAGGTGTGCGGACTTTTTCTTTCGTTGAGCGTCGATAACCCAAATCACGACATCTTTAAAAAAAATAACGTGTAAAGCGATTGCAGCATGTACATTTCAAGGCCATTTGGGACGATGTTTAAAGGGAAAATCGCACCTTTTTGGAAGCACATTTCACATTTCAGAAGCATGATCTGGTGAAATATCAGGACACACGATCTCACATGTGATGCGCGATTTCACCTATTTCGAGAAAAGGCTGCCATATTTAAGATATCCAGCTCTGTCCGCCGCCCGCGTTCTGCACAGAGCTATCGTGCGGCCATATCAACAGAATACGTGTGGCCAACTGACGACCATGTTGCTGCGCCAGTGACGCGCCGTGCCATTCAGCTGAGATAAATATCTTTGGCTTAATAACTGAACAGAGCGACTTAACAAAACTTAACGTAGTAGCAGTGACTTAATAGAACTGCTTCATCTTGACAAAATGGCTTAACTTTGTGATGCTATGCATTTTGGGTCAAGCGACACCTGGTGTTAGTTTTACTGGAGGCTGCTGGATGGAAATTATGTTTACTTTCTAAATGTTATAGACGGTATTTTTAAAGGCGTGTGGCCTTCACATACATGGCAGCATATGGAGGTGACGCTTAAAGGCAAATTTCGTCCGTCGAGTGGGTGCGATGTGAGTCACAAACCTTAAGCTCACCCCTGACTCACCATTCACCTCACCACTCACCTCACCACTCACCTCACTCACAAATGCTCGTGAATCGGCGGTCACGCCTGACACGGACCGTTATGGTGTAACAGATTTAGGACAGGCAGTTTTCTAGACTTTTCAAGATATTTTCACTAAACGTTTTGCATGCATCAATTTGTGATCTGAATCTTTGCCGAATCGCAAACTATCGAGAAGACCGTGACTCAACCACTCCAGGAGCATTATTACATGTCCACGGATCATCTCCACCGGACTTTGTTAACACTCCACGCCCGGCCGCTTCGTTCCACTTGGCTCCTTCTGTCCGTGGCCGGCGGTCTGTCAGTGACGAATCGCGGAGGCATTGCTTCTGTACACGATTCCTTATGCCGGCCACACGCCGGCTAGAGCGTTTGCCGCCCTCCAGCTGAGCTCGTGGACGGCAAAACTGCAGACGTGGCAAACGAAATCTGCTTCCAAAAGCTGACTTGATGTTGGAACTGAATCCAGATAGGCTGGCTGGCAGACAGCCCGCGCAGATGCCTATTCAGCTAGAACGTACGTAAGGTTGCGGGACGTGCGCGGCTTAGGGCGCCCCCTGCCTCTTGGCACACTACAAGCGGCATGTGCGTTAGCCATCACGCGTACAGTTTGTATTAAAATCATTGACATCGGATGATCCGTAAACCTGTCGAAAGGTAGTTGAGGAAAGTTAGGCTGCCTAGCGTAAAGATGCCGTCATTCCTGGCGACGCCATAATATAGCCCATCACGGCGCACTACGTAGACCTCATTTTGCGTCTGAGAACCTCTAGGAAAAGGCTATATCAAACAAATGAATATCCATGCCAACATGAAACGCTTTTAAATATGTATTGCAAGTTGCGGCATTTGGGATGTCTCGATCTTAGCTACAATTCTGCAGTCCCAGTTTAAGCCATCCTAGGGTTCGGCGTGTGTGTACTCACGCTGCATGCAGCCACAAACATGACATTTTGACCTCCTCCCACGATTGCACGTGAGCTGCAAAGGAAATCTGCAGCGTCGCCCACTGACTGCAATCATAAGTTCCGGATGTCACATTCGTTTCCAGCGAGCGGCCAGACCGCTGCCTGCAGTTTGGCGACGAAGGCCGCTGGTCGGCATGCGGAGGACTTTGCCGCGATGCGACCTGCGCGGAGTGATCTGACGTCATCCTCGTCCCGCAGGCATGCCGCGCGCCGACGTCTCCATCATCCTGACCAACTCGTCGCCCACCGAGATGGAGGAGGCCGACATGTTCTCGCTCGTCACCGTCATGCCCGGGGTGTCGCTGTAACGCCGGCTGCGGCGTGCTCGGCCTCGTCGTCCCGTCGCCTGGCCGGCGGTCGTGGCGCGGCGCCCCGGCCTCGCTCCCCTGATGCCGCGAAGGCTCGGGGGACGAGGCCCCGGCGGCGGCGGCTCCGACGCCAATGGAGTCGGCCCCGCGATCGTGGAATGCTCTCAGTGGTGCGACCTTCGACGTCACGTGGGTGCGAGGCCGAGGGACAGCACCTCCACCTCGCATCGGGGTTGTGGCGAGACTGACGGTCAGCGTGCTTCCCCTAGCGACACACGACGCCAACATGCGGTCACCTTCACCGCCGGCCCGCACTGCCGGCCGCCGTGCAGAGCGAGGCCCGCGTGTCCGCCGCCCGTGCCGCCGCCGGCGGATTCACGCGGCGGCGGCGCTACCGCCGCAGAGCGCAGGGTCGCAACCGAGTCGCCGCCGGCCGGTAAGTGCCGGAGCGTGTCGGGCGACGGGAGGAGGACACCGGCCCCGACGGCCACTGCGAGCCGTCAAGCCCGAGCGCTCCGGAGCGGGCCCGTGCGGCGGCGGCTGGGCGGTCCCAGTGCCGGCGGCGGCGGGGCGGTCCCGAGCGCGGCGGGCCGGGCCCGTGCGGCGGCGGCGGTGCGGGCCCGCTCGGCGGCGGGGCGGGCCCGCCGGCTGCGGCGGGCGGGGGGGGCCCGCTCGGCGGCGGCGGGGCGGTTCCCGCCGCGGCGGCGGCTGGGATGGGCCCGCGCGGCGGCGGCGGGGCGGGGGCACGCGCGTCGTGCGGCGGGTGGGCCCGCGCGGTGACGGCGGGTGGGCCCGGCCGGATCTCGGCGGCGGACGTGACGCGTTCGGCGCTAAGAGGCCTCCCTGACACGACGTTGGTCTCGGCGTGAGCTGCGGCGGGGATGGCGACGAGACGCGAGTTTGGACGGGGTCCGTCTTCCGGGGTCTCCCCAGTCACCCGGGATGGGTGGCGCCTGCTCTATCACGGAGCCGAGTTGACGTCGTTCCGCGCTGCGCATCGCTAGGCGCCGGAAGTCTACCAGAGCACCTCCGAGGCTCCCAATTCAGCTCGTGCATGGCAGGTGCATGGTGTAAAGCTGTATGTGAGACCCCTGCGCTGACTGCTCCCCGAATGAGATGCCGTATATACATGGGTTTACCAACGCTATGTTTGCTTCGTCTATCGGATCGTTTGCCTGCATCTTAAGTCGGTTTGGCGATGGCGTTGTCTCGATATCGTACAGTTATGCTCACAATGTAACGGTCAGTCAGATGCCAGTTTCAGAATGGTTACATATTGTGCACACAGCACAGTTATACATGCCGACGTGAGTAACTGGACTTGCATGCAACATCACGCTGGCACCGACGACGGACGGCGCAGTACGGAGATGCTCATAGAAAATTCCGTTTATATTGATTGACGGAATGTTCTATACATAGAAAGGTTATGGATACGAACACACCATCTCTCAGAAGGCGAGGGTTCGGAAGGTGGAACCACGAATCTCTCTTCGGGGCGACGATCTGAGACGTGTACAAAAGGCCGTATACGTGCGCTCAGCATACTGAGGCCCGACCAGACTGAGATTAGGTGCGAATGCACTACACCTGTCACTCGTAAGACGACCCTGCCCAGACACAATTATTACTTGATATGTCACATTAAGATGCATACTATTAATATGGTACGTGTGGTACAATTATTAAAAGGTATTCACTCTAAGTTCGTAATGCACTCATCGGCCTTTATGTTTTGGGCTGGCGGCTCAGAGGTATTGAACGCTGAGCCCGTCACCCCTTGGCAATCCAAATAAATGATGATATCGCCGCGGATAAGCAACAGCCGCTTAGTACAGCTCGATGTAAAAATACGCATGTTCTTCTTCCCACATCGCGCCAAAGTGATGACGTAGGCATCGTGGACATTACGACAAGCCAGACTCATCAAATCTTACATGCATTTATCGTAACACATTTCCCCGATAGGAATAGTGCCTTAGGTTGGGTTCTAATGAGCCGCCTCAGGCTTCTTCACCAGTCTCTCCACACAAAGCGAGCGTCTCCGCACTAGTGCCCGCCGGCGGCGCTCCGACCTCATCTGACCGGCGTGAGCGCTCGGGCGCGCGTCCGGCCTGGGCCGGCGCGAGCGTCCGTCCCCGCACGTCCCCGCCGCTGGGCCCGGCTCGCGCGCGCGACGCCGGACCAGATATCGAGCACGAGATTCCCCGGGCGCCGGCCGACTTGATGATGTCGCTGTGGGCCCACGCCGCCCGCCGGCAGAGCAGGCGGCGTCAACACGGCCCGGCGGCAGGCCGCGTCCGGCCGACCGACGCGGCCTCGACCGGACGGCCGGCCCGCCGCTGAGAGACGGCGGCGGTCACTGGTGAACGGTCACCGCTGAGAGACGGCGGCGGTCACTGGTGAACGGTCACCGCTGAGAGACGGCGGCGGTCACTGGTGAACGGTCACCGCTGGGAGACGGCGGCGGTCACTGGGAATTGGTTACGGCTGAGAGAAGGCAGCGGTCACTGGTTAACGGTCATGGCTGAGAGACCACGGCGGTCACCGGTGAACGGTCATGGCTGAGAGACCACGGCGATCACCGGTGAACGGTCATGGCTGAGAGACCACGGCGGTCACCGGTGAACGGTCACGGCTGGGAGACTACGGCGGTCACTGATGAACGGTCACCGCTGAGAGACGGCGGCGACCACTGGTGAACGGTCATGGCTGGGAGACTACGACGGTCACTGGTGAACGGTCACGGCTGAGAGACGGCAGCGGTCACTGGTGAACGGTCATGGCTGAGAGACCACGGCGGTCACTGGTGAACGGCCACGGCTGCGAGACTTCGGCGGTCACTGGGAATCGGTCACCACTGAGAGACGACGGCGGTGACTGGTGAACATCCACGGCTGGGAGACCACGACGGTCACTGGTGAACGGTCACGGCTGAGAGAGCATGGCGGTCATTGGTGAACGTCCACAGCTGGGAGACTACGGCGGTCACTGGTGGACGGTCAAGGCTGAGGAGTCACGGCAACCACTGGTGACCCGTGATCTCCTAGCCGTGAACATGGTGAACGATGGGCGTAGGATTTATGCAGCATCAATGGACTGTTCTTGTCGACTCAATAGTAATGCTGTTAATCTACTTAGTACTTGTTTTCAAGTGCAATATTCGCGCTCCCCGCGAAGAAATTCCGTTGAGAACGCTGAGTGAGCACACTGAATCACAGACCCCCAGCGATGGATCGGCCAAGTTCAGCTCATACTTCTGATACATCATCACATTTGTGGCCACCAGAGACGGAACTCAGGGTGCTCAGTTCAAAATTCAAAGCTTGCTTGGGAGCTTTATGCTGCTTTTTAACTCAGAGCACTCAACGCAAAATGCAAAGTTTGCTTGAGGAGCTTTATGCTGCTTTTGTAAGTCAGGGCACTCAGTTCAAAACTCAAAGCTTGCTTGAGAAGCTTTGTGCTGTTTTTTCGCGAAGCGTTGCCAAAAATGCTGGGCATTTGAAGGTGGGCTGGCCATTTAGTAGTGTACACACATTAGCGAGGTGGTGGGAATCTAAATACGGATGTAGACAACCCCAGTAAGGATGCCACAACATTTTCTGATTTGGGCGGATATGTGCTAGTTCCAAGTGATATTCTTGTCGGGAACTGTGAGATGATTTTGCACCGTTTCAGGTCTGCTCCCCATACTATCCTTGCTACACAGGATTTTGAGTGTGCTTATGCTACAATTAATGCAGGAGTCAAAAACTAAGCCATCAGTTTTGTCCGGTTTTAAATACAGGACCATGGAAATGAAGCCACAATAAACAAGTGAAGCCTGTTCCATGGCAGCCATGAGTTGGGACAACATATACACCCCATGCTGAAATGATGTCGCTGACGCAAATTTTAAGAGGCCGAACCGAACAAGGAAAATTGGAATATCCCAAACGATCAGAAATTACCCCGAAAACTTGACATGCACCTTGGGAGCTGCTCGTGTAGCAGCGAATCTGTACTCAAACCACAACTGGATTGCAACATCGACGGCAGCCTGACCCCAGTCGGGGTCAGCACAGCCGGTGGCGGCACAGCTGGCGGCCAGCGGTGTTCCGGCACCACCCGGGGCGAGCCGATCCATCCGGGGGCGCCGACACTGCCCCCATCCGCGGCACGGCCGCCGGCGGCGAGATGAACACTCGCGGCGCCCGTGTGATGTATGGGCCGGCATGTGCTGCGGACTGACGCGGCAGCAGCTCTCGTTATGCAAGTCTTTTGATAGCTGACATCACGCGTCGGACAACGGCGTCAAGAACGTTAAGCTCTTTCCTAACGACGGCTTGGTGCTCTCAATGATATAACGAGCGATGAGCATTCATGTGGCCTGCTATTACTGTCGAGCCCGCCCTTAAAGGTGGATTATTTTGCACCGAGGGTGTTTCTTCATACGGCGGACAGATTCAAGCAGCTTGACCAGAAACATTTTATGCACCCCGGCTGCATTTGTTATTTCGCTTCCTAGCTAAGGCGATGACATTTGTATGTTACTGCGCTGTCCATGATGTCGTTCATGCCTACGAAATGTGATGATCAAAATGCAAAATTCACCCAGGAGGGATGGTGATGAGGGGATACTGTCTGACAGATCACGAAATAGTCTGCCAGGCTCACTCAGTCTAGATTACGACGACGATGTAAGAGCGTCGGCGCTGATCTTTACAGCAAACCACTGCCCAGGCCGCTATCAGTCCTCGAACGCGTCGTTTATCTGCTCCAGCGAGCCGCAAGCACCAGAATTTCCCGCCGCAACAGATACAGACGAGAGTTCTTCGTTTCTCCCCCGACGTGAGTCCACTGAGTGTCGCGATCGTGTGGCACATCCCCAGTGCGCCAGGAGACGAGCCAGCGGCGTCCATTTACATCCAACAACGCTTGCGGTGGTACTGATGGAGTCGGCTGGCGACGGCGATGGCCGCCGCCTGCGACCAATTAGCGTCACCGATCCAATAACAGCCGGGCATTGACCGTACC